TCTCGCGGTTACACCGCCATTACATCTCTCTCGCGGTTACACCGCCATTTCATCTCTCTCGCGGTTACACCGCCATTACATCTCTCTCGCGGTTACACCACCATTACATCTCTCACGCGGTTACACCGCCATTACAGCTCTCCCGCAATTATACCGCCATTACATCTCTCTCACGGTTACACCGTCATTACACCTCTTTCGCGGTTACACCGCCATTACATCTCTTTCGCGGTTACACCGCCATTTCATCTCTCTCGCGATTACACCGCCATTTAATTTTATCAAACAAGTCTCAACCAGTAGAGGAATCAAACCAGTTTCAGCCGGATATGAAATCCGGTTAATTCTTATCTGGATATGCAATCTGGACAACCGTCCGGAGATGTAATCTGGACAATACTGTCCGGATATCTAATCCGGACAACACTCGAGTGATGTTTTAAGAGATTTAATTAAATCGGATGGCCCTTTAGCGATTTAGGGTTGCATCAAACAAACTTTAACCGGTTTAGGAAGTAAACCGGATGATACTTGACCGGTTTAGAGATTACATCGGCAAACCTTTGAGCGGTTTAGAATGAACACGGACACCCTTTGTCCGGTTTAGGTTAAATCGGACAATTACCTTGAGCGGTTTAGGTAGATATCCGGACAACACTTGTCCGGTTTAGATTAAATCCGCATAGTATGAAATATAAATCATAGTAAACCAGTTCCAATAGCTATTGAATTGTTTGCAAACAAGTAATACTGAAAGCGTAATACACTCACCTTTGAATCAGAAATCTTAGCTTTATGTTCCCTCCCTTTTTCAGCCGATGATGATAAAAATAAAGAAGCTTTTGATCCAAAGGGTGTGTAAACTTTATCCTCTCCATCCCCTTTTACTATATATAGCAACTGGAATTTTAAGGGATGACCCAAAACAGCCGACTTCTCTCTCTCTCTCCCTTTTCCCTCATCCTTATTTTAGGTAAATATCATATACATACTTAATCCTTACAAAAGATTGTAAAAGATAATAATCCAATCATTACAAAATTAACTAAGTAAGTTAATTTTACCAATTATTACAAAAGCATTTGACAAAAACTCTTAAAAACCAAATTTTATACATGAAGTATTGTTTATTGATGCATATTACTTAAAATTCAATATTACAAGTAAATAATGCATAAATACAACTTATTAAAAACTTCATACTTGAATTTGTGTAACTAATTACAGATAAACATAATCAAATACTGGATAACATTTCATTTTAAATATAAAAAATTTAAAATATAATTAGAATAATCATTATCTTCTACCAGAATACTTAATTTTTATTTTTATAAAAATTATATATTTAATCAAAAATATATTACTTTCTTATTAAACCTAAAATAAAGTATAATAAAAAAAAGTTGAGTTAAAGAAATTACACAACGAAACAAAATTTTTTAAATAGCTAGTTAATTTGATACTAATATCGATACGTTTTTTAAAAAAATTTAATATATCTTCAAATTTATATTTTATTAAAAAATAAAAACATTATCGTTTTTCTCAAAAACATATAAAACCGTATTATAACATTAACAAAAGGACGGTCGAAAATGAAACATTAAAATCGAAACTTATCTCGTTATATTCTACGATTACCCTTCTAAGGGCATCTCCAATGGAGGTTAATGGGGAGGATCATGAATGTCATTACATGCATCATACATTGTGAAGGGGGTTAATGGGAGTTGCATGGAATAGAGTTTCATGGCCATTGTACGCATCATAGCTAAATCAATGGGACCCACTAATTTATTTTTTCTKTTATAATTAAATTTGTAAGGATTTAATTATGATATTATATATATATACTATAATATGATATTTATTAATCAATAAATTAATTTTTATTTTTATTTTTCTTAATTTATAAAAACAACATAATTAATAAAACATTACATTAATTTCAAAATACATTACATCGTCGTTTTTTATTTAATATGTGTTTAGGTTTTATATTTTTAAATTATTTGGTGTTTAAGCATTTCATTTTCTAGCTTTGGTATTTTTTAACTGATGTAATTTAGTCTCGTACTTTTTATTAAATGTATTTTAGTTTCGTTTCATTTTCGTTTTAATGTATTATTCCTTGTTTTTAGTAGATTTTTAAATTTGTTGGTAAAATTATATTTATAGATAATATATATATATATATATATATATGATGTGGAAATTCATTAAATTCATTGAAATGTTATAGAATATGGGTATAAAATAATAAAGTTGTATGATGGGTGGAATGCTGATGTGACAGTCCATGACCATGGAAATGCCCTTGGATGAATATTGTATCCCACCGAAAGGACTATTTTTTGTTAATTTAACTATTGAGAAAAATAACTTTCAATATATTATACATTCTTAAATCAAGCACCATACTCAGAGTAGTTCTATATATACTCACCTATATCTATCTATCTAGCGGTGCCGTCGCCGTCGCCGTCGCCGTCGCCGGTTCTGTTGCCGGTGCCTGTGCCGGTGCCTGTTCTTGAAGCTTACTGTATCGTCTTTTCAACGATGGACTCATACAGTTCAATAAGGAAGACTTACGCTTCCTTAACTTAACCCCAAAAAGGAAAGACTTCAATGGAATCCTTGAACTTGAACGCGATGTTTTCTTCTTATTTTCACCCAATTCCTCATCCAGCATCGCCAACGTCTTCTCCATATCAACCAGTAGCTTTTTAACCCTTTCAGCTGCTGCTTGTAACTCTTCTAAAATCTTAACATTTTCTTGCTTCATGTTTGAAACTTCTCCTTGAAACTTTGCTGTTTCATAATCATGCATCTTTTCAGCTTTTGAACCTTCTTTCTTCAAGTTCAACAGTTCATCTTGGATATCAGAAAGTGATGCTAATCTGTGCTGCAAATCATCTTCTAAGATTTCACTGCTTTCCAACCATAGAGTTAGTTCTGTTTGCATCTCGAGTAGATGTCGATATAATGGTCGGATATCGGAGGTAAAAGTTGATCTTGAATGGTGTTGATGATGGTGTCGTTGCTTTCCACTTCCATCAGGTTTCTTTACTCTCGCTTCTTTAATATCTTGGAGTAGATCATGGTATGAATCTTGAAACCTGTTGATTTGATGATATGTTGTACTAAATCTTAACCATAATTCTAAGTTTTCTTTCCGTAATTCCTCGATTTCTTTGCGTATCTCGTCTTCGATATCGGAAACTTCATGGGGTTCATCGGCATCATCGTCTACTTGATCTTTACTTGATCTTTGTGATCCTTCTTGAACAGAATCTTGATGATCCTTCTTTAGTTCTAAGTTTTTGGTGGTTTCTTGATCAAGTTCTTTGCTTTTTTGTGTTATTTCATGAACTGAATCTTGATCTTTAGAGCTTGTGATTTCTTCAGGTTCTTTTCTTGATCTTTGTTCCTCTTCATCAACTGAATCTACAATTCCATCAAGTTCTTTTCTTCTATTTGTTCCTTCAACAACTGAATCATCTGGATCAGCTTCAAAGAACTCTACGGATTCTTCGATTCCTTTTCTTGTTTCGGTTCCTTCATCAATGGAATCATCATATGAAGGTTCAAAGAACTCTACGGATTCGTCGATTCCTTTTCTTGATTCGTTTCCTTCATCAACCAAATCTTGATCCGGAGGTTCCTTTAGTTCGAAGTACTCTACAGATTCATCAAGTCCTTTTCTTCTTCCGATTCCTTCATCAACCGAATCCGAAGCTTTCTTTAGTTCAATTTCATCAAGGCCTTTTCTTCTTTCTTCTATTCCTTGATCATCAACTGAATTGGGACCTTTGTTTCTTTCATGTCCAATTCTTGTTTCTATTCCTTCATCAACTGAATCTGGATATTTCTTTTGTTGATTGGTTTGGTTCATGTTTCTTTCAAACAGTTTTAGCTTCTCAAATAAAGCTTTAATCTGTGCATCTTTTGAATGATTTGCAGTTCTCAATACTTTCATTTGAACTGCAGATCTGAAAGTGTTTGCGCGATTTCTCTTTTCGATTTCATTCAACTTCTTTTTAACTTGTTTGAGGTTCCTCAATGTTGTTGTGTACTCTTCAAGTAGCATTTTCTCTCTATCTTCTACTCCATATGAGAATATTAGGTTCCAATTTGGTTGATCATCTTCTTTACCATTAATATCATCATCATCATCTTGTTCTTTTTTGAAAACCATTTTCGTCCATTCTCGATCTTTTCTCCCTTCCATGGTCTTATCCTGCTCACCATCTTCATCTTTCTCATTCTCATTAGGGTTTTCTTTACAACCCTTGATCCAGTGAGCATCTTCATCATTAACTTCTCTCCATTTCTTATCTTTCTCATCGAGATCATGATCATGATCATGATCCTTTTCAAATCCAGACCCATTTTCATCTTCTTCTACTTTTGGATAAATGATCAGATGATCATCTGGAGTCTTTTCATCTGGTTTTGCAGTTAAAAGCTCTTTAGACAAATAATCAAGATCAACACTTGCTTCATCAAAACTGGTTTCCAATCTCACATTTTGTCCTTTAACTTTCTGATCAAGATTTTGAAGCCTTTTCAATTCTTCCTCCAATCTTTTGATCTTAATCTTCATATTGTTTGAATCATCTTCAAGAATCTGCTTCTCTTCTTCCAATTTTTGAACCCGTTCATGAAGCTCATCGTTTTCCAATCTTAATCTCATCACCAATGCTGCTTGAGATGTCACTTCGGTTTCTAAATCAAACACTTTATCAACCAACTGTTCAATCTTCTCAGCAACTTCAGAAATGGTAATAGGTCCATTTTTCCCAAGAATCTCTTCTTTGATCCTTGCTTTTTTATCTTCAATACTTAATTCACCTTCTTTTGGTTCAGATTTATACACAGTTTCACTGTCCAAGATGACTTCTTGATCTGAATTCTCCATATTTCCGTCAATCGTTTGTTGTTTCTCTTCAATCTTCGCTTTTTTATCTTTAACATGCTCTTTAGTTTGCTCCAAGTTCTTTGAGTCCGGATTACTGTCTTTATTACTCGCTATCAAAGCTTCGAACTTTTTCCTAATATCATCCACCCTTTTGTGTTCCACAGTCGCCTCTTTTTTAAACCGTTGTTGTTTGTTTTTCAGCTTTTCTAGCGTTTCTTCGCATGTCTTCAATGCCGAAGATGACATTAGTGTCTGAGCATCGGTTTCTTCGATCACTGCACCAACTCCGAACTCATCTTGCAAACTGCAAATTCTAGCATGTATTTCAGTGATATTATTCTCGATTTCCCAATACTTAGAAAGCGCGTTTTCATATGAACTTTTCACAAATTCTTTTTCGGTTTGAAGTCCTAAGATATCTTTCTGAAGCTTATCGATCTCATCAAGTGCTTCATCTTTGCTCAATCCAGAACTTATCGAAACTCCAGAAGCGTTTTCGTCCACACCCATCTTGATTAGTCCTCTTTTCGACATCATCTTCGTGGGCATTTTGGAGTTTTTCTTGATCATGGCTTGAACTATGTTTTCGATCTTCGGAGCGGCCGGGGCTTCTGGCAATGGCAATGGCAATGGCACGGGCGAACTTGAAGGGTTCTTATTTTGATCATTTTCTTCGAAACTTGAAGTGAATTCTTCATAATCTTCATCATCAATCGACATTTGCACCCTTTCGGGAAAAAACATGGCGATCGTTCGATTAGCGCTTTGTAGATCCTTCGACAAATGATCGTATCTTTCGGCTAAAGCTCGGTATTCCCGAAATGTATCCTCAACAAAATTTACAATTTCAGGCCTTTTTCTGTAGTATTGTTCTGCCCTAGTCCTAAATGAGTCTCCATCTTCAGTGATGATCTTCAGTATGTATTCTGCCTTTTCCTCCATATCTATAACAAAATTTAGAGCAAAAAATGTATCAAAATGAAATGAAGTTTTGACTTAATTACCAAAAGGCATTTGGCGTAGCAGTATTCTAGCGTTTAGCCTTTCCGAAAGTCAGGGGTTCAAATATCACCAAAAGATGAGAAGGTTGTGTAGTTTATATACTTCGAAAAAAGCTAGACTTGATTCATGTACAATCTTTTTCACATGATTTTGGTCACATAAGCTAGTGAATGTCATTCAAACTCATGGAATATCGTTAAGATGAAAATGCAAACCAATTCGGGTTTATACGATACCAAAAATTTTGAAGTGTCATAATAGATTATTTTTAAGTATCATTCATAATTATGTGTCATATGTAAAAACATAGCAATAAGTTTAAAGAATGTTTTTTTGAACGTCTTAACAAGTTTTCAGAGAACAATTTTTAAACAAGTGTCCTATAAAAAGAAACGTTTATATCACAATTCTCCGATCTGACCTGTAAAAAAACTAAAGATCCCTTCCTGAACCAAACATGAATCTTTCGCATTGTAAAACTCAAGAGTTACACCTACTTGTTCGACACTATACTTAGATTCTGCCCTTTGGAAAGGAACATCCGGCTCTAGTAATCCCGTCATACAACACTTATTTTATAATTGTCTTAAAAACCTGTTAAAATACCTAAAAGCGTCCTATAAACTTATTGCAACGTTTTTACATATATAGGATATAGTCCGATTGTTTGGTTTTGTAAATTTAAATCCTATAAAACTATTTATATATTATGACACTTCGACAATTTTAACGTTCTATAAACCTTGATTTTTTTTATGCTACGGCAAAAGGAAACCCTAAAATCTAAAGAAGATGTACCTTGGAGGTTATGTTCTAGCCATTTTGATTGCTTGGTCCTAATGTGGCTAGCCCACCACCAAGAATATGCATTCCTTGCTGCTCGTGTCAACATGATCTATCCTTTTCGTTAAGTCGTCCAGCTAGCTAATCGACGCCCATATGTGAACCACCATCCATTATTGGCTAGAACCCCTGACCCTATTGGTCTGTAGCATTAAGCCGCACGCATGCCTTTTGATCTTGAGACTCAATCCCTATTAATCCTTGAGCCGATCATGAAAAATATATAGATCTTCCATTAAAGATTTATAAAAAGAGAAGAATAGAAATTTGTTATGATGTAATTAATAATTAAAAGATGATGTTTTTGTGGAGTTGAAAAATGGTTGATCATTTCTTGGTCAAATGGTTAATTGTAGGTTAAGAAGATGACATTTTTCTTGAAATGCTTGTAATTCGGTGAGATATTAAAGGGGACAACATTAAGGTTGAACCATTCAAACATATAGAGCATACACATAACAAACGAAAATTTTAAAACATGAATCCCACGTGGTCTAGCCGACTGTGATCTCGATCGGTCGATCCTGTGGGGGCGGTGACAGTGATGACCATTATAACAAATACTATATTACGGATTTATGATCATATCAAATAAAGGTAGATTGGTATATTTTTTTAGTTTTGTCTCATCAGTGCATGTGCCATCTTGTTCAACCCGGTGGAACAGAAACAAAAGCTTTTTGTCCCACCATGTCCATGTTTTTGTCACTGTCCCATGTCGCGCAAAAGGTAGAACTTCGCGGGTTTTTCTCGTGTCCCATATCATACCATGTAATATTTCAGGCAAACTGTATCAAATATTGTTTGTTTAATTCATATTTGGACTTGATAATCCCAGAAATGGATTAATCAATAACCACTTCTTATGATCCAAGATCAACAATCAAGAACACAATTAATATGTAGAAAGAGAGTAGAAATTTTAGAGAGAGAAAATCTTTTAATGCTAATTGTATTCAAACAACTACTAAGATGAAATCTTATTACAATATGTATCTTCTACCCCTTCCAAGATCTAATACTAAAGCCCCTGTATATATACACAAGATAAGCACAAGGACAAAGTTTGGATACAACCAATTTAAATACAAAACTTGGACCTAACAATCTTCCATTTTGGATACAAGCTTTATGAGCAACTTTAAACAAAAACATATCAATAAAAATCTTCAGACCCTTTGGCTACAACAAATTTCAGAAATATCAGCATCTTGATATCTTCCAGATTTATCTTTGAAAACCTTTATACATTCTTCTCCTTGATCTCTCAAGACTTTAAACATTCTCCCCCAAAATATAAAAACAATGTATAAACTTCTTCTTTGAGTAGCAGGTTCTTATTCTTCAATATTTAAAACCTTACAATCTCCCCTTATCTTGGAAACAATTTCAACTCTTTAACAACTTCAATCATTCTCTCTCAAATTAAACAACTTCAGACAAAATTTATCAGCTTCACTCAACTTGATAAAATATTTTCTTCAAGAATCTCCGTCTTTAACATATACATAATCTTCTTTTCAACTTTTGAGTAAACTCCCCCTTTTTCTTTTCAACACATAATCTCCACAACTTCTTTCCTTTACAACAAAATGAGAAATTATTTTTACGATCATTCCCCCTTGATCATAGCAAAAGAAAATATTCAATAATCTTCAATACTTAGCAAAAATCTTCAACTTTGCTTCATATCTTTGATAATTTCCCCCTCATAATGATTAGGAGAATCCTGAACATCATGCACAATCAAAGATATACTAGGCATCTTCCCTTCAGAAAAGACAACCTTGTTAGACTAACATTCTCTCCCCTTTTGAAAAAAATAATCTTCATTAGCATGAACAATTTCTCAATTTTCTTGAATGTTGGGTAATCATCTAACATAAAAGCACATTTCGTAACTATTATAACACCAATTAAAAATAATTGTGTGGCCTATGTTCAGAGTTGACAATTATGAATCTTTTATAGGACTTTCAGTTATCATTGAAGTAATGTTCATAACAAACTTCTCAAACTGTTCTGGCAATATCACAAAGATATGCAATTTGAGTCACACAAACTCGTGAAAAGTGTCAAAAAAAATTATTATCATTAAAGTGTATATTTGGCTCAAAATAGACTCAATGTGCACATAATAAAGTTCGAAGACCGGAGGTGCGTCTTCTTGTTTCAATATTTAAATCTTCCAAATAAAGAATAGATAATTATATGTTAATTCTCCGTAATATATGAAACAAGCAACTTTTGTGAGATACTTGAGTAGCTAGGTGGGGTGACACGAGTAGTCGACACTGGGTCCATGTCTATTTTAATATTCATCTCCAAAGAACGAGAATGAATAGATTATATGGCAACCCGGTTAACTGTATCGGTTTAGAAAGGACTATATATATTTCTTTTCGGTCCTGTCGCACACTCACCATATTCTTTTAGCTCACTCACTCACTCAATCTTTCAGCATTTTACCTCAAACACTCCCTTTAAAAAAATATCTAACCTAGGGATGTGTTTCATGGGTAGGTCCTTACGGTTCTGGATTGACCATTGAAACTTCTAAAATTCTAAGTACTCAGACGATTATTGCACATTCACAGATATATGCGTTAAATCTCGTAAAGAAATGAAAATTGAGTCCTAAATTGATGTATTCAGAAATCATATATGAAGAACAGGTTCTGAACTGAGATGTTCAAAAGCTAACACATTAAATGTATCTGTTTAGAATTAATAAGAAATAAGTTTGAACGCTAAACAGAATGACTCATTACGCACAATGTTTAACAACAAATGTACAATGATTAGAATGTTTAATTGTGAAGAACAAGTCACAATTATTATTTCTGATAAGAATCGAATCATTGATAAAAAATAACGCACAACGAAAAAAAATTACAAGTATTAATCTCAAAGAAATACCCGTTCAAAGATAGTACTCGTTTTTTATAAAATATCATTTAAACCTCACTTCTTGAGATCATAAATCATTTGAGATCAAAGAAGTAGTTTGAACATTTGAAAAACAGTTTAATATACTCAAAAGTTGTTCTTCTTCTAAGCATATGAATATTAAGCCCACAAAGAAATTTGATTAAAAAAATATTGCACAATTTTTTTTTCTTAAAATCTGTTCATCGCTCATCTCAAGATTCTCACTCATCACTCAACTATCAATACTCATTGCTCACAACACTCAACATTCATTGATCATGAAACTCTCATCGCTCAATAACTATAACTCACGTTACACATATCTCAATCTATATCCGGAAAACCTTTCATCATACAACTCTATGATCGGATAGATTACTTCATCAGACACCATATCATCCGGATTGATCCTTTATCGGTCATACCTTCATCCGAATTGATCTTTCATCGGAAACACTTTGTTCGGATTCATCCTTTATCAAACAACTGTCAGGATATCATCTTCATCGGACATTACTTTGTACTTTCAAAAACCTGTAAACAATATAACAGTTAAATTCTAATCTTATATTCAAATATCAAATCTTCAAAATATATCATTTAAAAATCCATAAACTCCATTAGTTGATACCCATTGATAAAAATTCTTATACTCTCTCTAGAATTAATATCACTTTCAAAACAATTCAAAGATATTTCATAAAACTCCCTTTGAAACAAACAAGCCCAGGTCCTGAACTGCTTTGTTCAGAAATTATGTTGAAGACGAGGTCCTGAATTGTGTGTTCCGAAACTACATTTAAAGCTCAAAAATTTCATATAAGCTCCCTCTCAAACCACGCATAGGTTTATCATGATTTTAATCTTCTAAATCAGCTCAACACACAGGGTCGTGGGGGAGGGCGGCACGAGCGCACGCCCAAAACCCAAAAATATCAAGGGCCCAAAATTTTTCCTTAAAATACAATAGTAGTTTAAAAGAATTTAATAAATTAAAGAAACCCAAAAAATTGTAGCTTATAATAAAAGGCAAAAAGAATTTACTAGATAATAAGGGCTAAAAAATATATTAACTAATTACATTGGAGAAGAAAATAAAAAAAATTAATTGGTCCTTCATTATATGCTATTGTTTATTGCCCCTCTAATTTTTTTTTATCTCCAACAAGGTCCAATAATATTGGTTATTGCTATCTCTATATGTTTGATTGTTCTCGTATTTCAACAATTCAACGTTAAGAACATATGCTTATTATTGCTATATATTTTTGTTGGATATTTTTTTTATCAATTTATGCTTCTATCAACTATTGCTATTTGGTTATGTTGTTCTAATTGTTTTTGTTGACTATTATTATCTATTTTTGCTTCTATATAAAATATTTTACTATTGTTTGACAATTAATCTATTGTTCTTATAATTTATGACGTGTTTCATGTTTTTGTGTTTAATCAATAATTTTTTTATATTAGATGTATTTAGTAATGTCTGTTATATATGTCATGTTTCATAAACTTTTAATCTTAACATCCTATTCTAGTTGAGCAAAAAAAGAAGAAAAAATAGAATTTAAATATTTTCATCAATTGTTTGACTTATGTATCTTTCGTTGGGATTCCACCACACCACAGGATTCTATCTAAGTGCTCAAACAATCATTTATTGAGCTTGCATATTATATGTTTAATTTATTATTGGATCTTAATTTATTATTGATCCTCATTTGTCTACTTGTCTAGAAAAACCTTGATAATCTTCTTTATTATTGACCTCTCATTGACCCTCACGATTACTTCATTCACATGAATTCTCTTTTTGTATCAAAATAACACATATTTCTTGTTATGAACTAAAAAAATTCTTATTTTTTATAAAAATTTATCAACCATAGTTTCTATACTCTTGGCTTTAGATTACCTAATAAGAAGTACATAAATTTAAATACTCTCTTATATATCTATAATAAAGATAAATAAAATTTCTTTACTCAGTAAATTATTAGTATTTCTTGTACTTAATTTTATACTAATGAAAAACATTTATTGAATTTTGTTTCGTACTTATTGAGAGTCACTACAAAAAAGTGAGCTTTGACAATGCGTCTTTTAGCAATGACGTGTTTCCGCCACAAGTTATAACGACGACACGTTGTTATATACTCTTTTTTTATGATAAATGGACTTTTAGCGACGACAAAAGTCGTTGCTAAAATCGTGTTTCTTACAGTGGGCTCTGTTTTTACGTTTGTCAGGGCCTATAAAATGTTAGGAACGGGCTTGACAACACATGACAAACCTGTAAAATAAATTATATAGATTTTGGTATCCATACTTTCATTCATGGATCCTAGTTTGTTAGTTTTGGTTTGGGGTATGCTATAAGTACCAAACCATCTGTTATGATCAGATGTTTTCACATGAGTATTCTTAACAGGTAAATTATATATGCAATAAGTATCATACCAGTTGTTATCATACATGTCATTCCTAATCTACCTGTTTCTGTACCAACTGTTATTCCTCTTACCTTTTCCATTCCAACTATTTATTTTCTTCTTGTTTATGAAATCATTTGTTCCACAAATTGAACATCTCCTTCTCTTGCTAAGACTAATAAGTTGGTTACTAGAATTAACAATGCAAGGTAAAATAGTCTTAGATACAAATGATTTCTTATTACACATAGAATTTTGAGAAGATAAACAAATTCAGATTTCTTCATCCAAACCTTTTTCACTATTTGAAAATGATTATCTGATTCAATAACATAATCTTTGTAGTACTGATTTGAAATATGAGATATGTTCTTTGAAACATTTGATTTAATACTACTTGAAAAACTATTTGATTTGACACTAGAATTGTCATTCAAGCAGGTTTACACTTAGAATGAGAATCAGTTGAGCTTGAAGCAGTGGCGGATGCAGAAAAATATATTGTAGGGGGCACGATATAAAATAAAATAATAATTAACTTCAATTTCATACAAAATGATAAAAAGTTACCTCTTACAACTGTGCCCTACGACTCTTCATCTTTTGAAATTGTGTAATTACATCATCATTTGAAACTGCGAGAAGTGCTTCTTTTTTCTATAATACATATCATTGCAGCATTCAAAAATTCATCACCGATTTTGTTGCGCAAATCTGACTTCACAATCTTCATAGCAGAAAAACATCTTTCGACTGTTGCAGTAGCAACTGGCAAAACCAAAGCCAACTTCAATAACCGATATACTAGAGGATAAGTTTGATGCTTTTTTGTTTCCACTAGCAGTCTAGCGAGCTCGGCAATACCACTCAAATTGGCAAATCTTTCATCTTGACGCACAATCAAATAATACATGTTAAGTTGTTTCTCAAGAGCGATCCTTTCCATATGACTAAAATCTTGAGGATACAACTCACTCAACTTCAATAAATCTGATACATTGAATTGCGAAAATGAATCGCATGGACTCAAAACTACTATATTTTTAAGCAATTCAGTACTTACCTCACTAAATCGATCCCCAAACTCTTGAATTTGCATGTCCATAACAGTGTTGAAAATATCAAACTTGTAATAATGACAATTGGTGATGTTGGTCATTTATCTTCCGTTTTTTGAATAACGGTCTTCCATATCCAAAGCCTTAATACCATTTGCTTCACAAAAAGAATACATTTTCTTCAAAAGTGGATCAAAACCAGTTTCTCTAAATTGTTGCAATAGTTGTTTGGTTCCTCTTATCAATGAAACCGCTTCCAAAATATCTTGATCCTTTTTTTGAAGAGCCCGTGACAACAAGTCTGTGAGCTCTAAAATATGAAACATCAAATGCAAATAAATCACAAAATCAAATGTCTTCAAATATGCTAAAATGCCAGTTGCTTGAGTGTGACTAAAACACATTATCCCCGTCCTCTTCAACATATCGGAGCACTTCAACAACATTCGGAAACAAAGCAATCAAGCTCAAAATGGTTTTGTATTGAGAACCCCACCGTGTATCTCCGGCTCTTATAAGAGAAAGCTCTTGGCATTTCCTTGTTCCAGTATCAATTTCACACTTACCAATTGCTTCTTGCACTCTATCTTTGTAACTTTGTCGAAGCATGTCTTTACGCTTGCAAGAAGCATTCACCACATTGATCACCATTCCTAACATATTAAAAAAGTTCTCAACTCCGTCATGTTTATTGGCAACCGCCACAACAACTAATTGAAGTTGGTGAGCAAAACAATGGATATAATATGCCGAGCTATTTTCATTCAAGATCAAGGCCTTTAATCCATTGAACTCACCCCGCATATTGCTTGCTCTGTCATAACCTTGCCCTCTTACCTGTTTCAAACTCAATCCATGTTCAGCAAATAAACTATCAATGGCAGATTTAAGAATTGAAGAAAATGTCCCCGTCACATGACTCATCAACTAGCAATGAGAACACATCATCACCAACTTCTTTACGAATGAATTTGAGTATTTGATTTGCAAAACAAGCAGCAATATCTTTTTGAATACTTGGAGACACCATTTGATTATTCTTTGGAGCATTTTTTAATATAAYTTTACCTACATCCTCATTGCAATCACCAATTAAGGCTAATGTTTCCAAGAACATGCCTTTAGAGATAGACATTTCATATTCATCGTGACCACGAAAGGGCAATGCATTCTTCAACAAGAACCTACAAGCCTTAATTGAAGCATCTAATCGTATTCAGTGCTCATTCTTCTCCTTCTCAGTTTTCTTATGAAAGGCAACAACAATAGATCGATCTTGGCTCATTAGATTCTCACTTTTCTTAAGTGCTCTATTGTGAAAACTATTGATGTCGCCGACATGAAGACCAAGTCTTTTCGTTTTATTCCGACTATTAAAACCATCTGTCACAAAAGCATCACTCCCACATTGTCCTACGTAATGATCTCTAAACAAATAACAACACAAACAAAAAGCTCTATCCGTTTTTACATTATACTCCAACCAATTAGCATATTAATCAAACCAAGTCGGACAAAAACGTCTTCCTTTACTCCCGGCAAATTTTTTTGGAAATGCATGACCCCGTGGTTCACAAGGTCCTCTAAGCAAATATTTTCTCCTTATTTCATCCATTTGATTAGGATGATATTCCAAAATCTTTTTCCTATCGGCCGGATCCCAAGGAAGATCGTTCAAATCAATTTCGCAAGGCATCGAAGGAGCAGAGCTCAATTCAGGTGTTGATGCTTTCCTTTTAAAAAATCTTTCCATTTTTTTCTAGCAATAACAATAACAAGATAAAAATCAATGGTTTAGTAACATTTTTATTTGCCTACAAAATTAACCTAAAATTTGACATTTCCATTTGATTTGCCTAATTGCCTACAAAATTACCTACAAAATTAACCAACAAAATTAACCTAAAATATCTAACCTAAAGCATTTACCAATTACCACAAAATTAACCAACAAAATTAACCTAAAATACCTAACCTAAAGCATTTACCAATTACCACAAAATTAACCAACAAAATTAACATAAAGCATTTACCAATTACCACAAAATTAACCTAAAATAAATACCTAACCTAAAGCATTTACCAATTACCAATTACCACAAAATTAACCAACAAAATTAACCTAAAATAAATACCTAACCTAAAGCATTTACCAATTACCAATTACCACAAAATTAACCTAAAATACTACTAATTGAAGTTGGAAATTAGAAATTTAGAATCTTTACCCAAGAGGCCAAGACCAAGAAGGAACAAACGAGAGGCGAGAGCACAGTCGGCACTCGGCAGTCCGCTGTCCGCAGTCGCACAGCAGACAGCACAGTCAGTCAGTCTCAATTTGTCAGTCGCACATCACACATCACTCGCAGCTCGCAGGCTCGCAAGTCGTAGGTCGGCAGGTGAGGACGTGAAGTCGCACTCTCTCTGTCGCAGCGATGAAGAAGAAGAGAAGAAGTGACTAGTGAGGTTGCAGCCGATGAAGAAGAAGAGAAGAAGTGAGGTCTGGTCGCAGGCAGTAGGCTCGTATCTCGTTTCCTACACTGAAGAGGGGACTCTTGCCTCATGTTGTTGGGGGCCCAAATACATTTAATTAAAAAATACAAGTAAATTTTTTTTTTGGGCTTTCCTATTTAATTTTTGTTAGGGGCCCAGGACGCCAACCCTCTTGTAGTACATCCGCCCCTGGCTTGAAGTATTTGTTTCAGAAAATTATTTTACTTTCTTTAGCAATTGATCTCTTTCTTCAGTAACTAAATCATATTTCTTTTTAAACTCAGATTTAATATTTATTTCAGATACAAGATCAATTTTTAAATCAGATAATTTCTTTAATGTTTCAGAAATCTTACCTTCCAAATCTGATCTTTCCTTTTCAAAGCTTTTTCTTTCATTTTCAAATTCTTTCATTTTTTCTCAAAACTTCCCTTTTCATTATCAGAAGCAATGTCTAACCATTTCTTTTTCTCAATTAGCTCCTTGGCAATAACTGCATTCTTCTTCGCATTATTCTTTCTTTCAGTAGCAATGTTTTTGTTTCTACATCCAGACTCTTCTTATCAGCAACAATGCTCTTGGAAAGTTCCAGATATTTCTTCTCAGACTCTTTCATTAAATCTTTCTTCTCATTCTCAAATTTGGCTCTATCCAAAATAATTATATTTTCAAATTCAAAAAAATTCTCTGAAAGTTTTGCATTGTTCAGCTCAAGAACTCTAATTTTGCTTTCAAGAATCTTCTTTTCAGCATCAAATTTATTTTCAGCTTCATAAAACTTTTTCATTTTCTTCTCAATTCCCTTTTTATCAAAATTCAAACTATCATACTCTAACAAATTTTCTAGTTCAATTAATCTTTTCCTTTCCTTTTCATGAATTCTTCTTTCTAAATTTAAAGCTCTCTCAGCTTCATAAACCCTTGATGTCAATTCAGAATTTTTCTTTATCTGCTCAACATTCCTTGCATGGAGATCAGATAAAAATCCTCTAGACATAAATTAACCAATTTCTTCCTTTCAAAGCTTCTTTTCTTCAAGAAATTGCTCATTTTCTTTAACCAAATCTTTTTGCCCAACAAAGATTAGAATGGTTTTCGTAAAACATTTCAACATATTTGTCTTGTTTCTTTTTCAATTTCTTTTCAAGTTCAGAAACACTCTCTTTCAATTCCTTATTCTCTCTTTCAATCCTTAAAGTCATTACAAAATATTTCAAAATTGATTAATCACACTTTTGATCTTTTTACAGTTCAAAGCTTAGAACACAAATTAACAACTTTACTAATCAGACAACACTTTAAACTCTCAAAACTTCATTATCGGACAAACAAAGATATAACTCCCAACAAGTTATCGGACAAACCTGCTTTGTCAACCTTTATCACCCAAAACACTTATTATTCAAGTCTTTATCGGACAAAAAGTATATCTCCTAAACAAGGTTATCGGACAACTTTTATTGATCACAATCTTGTTGAACAACACACCTTATCACACACTTTCTTTATTGATCAACTCACCTTGTCGGACAGGCTTTATCGTACAAAGTCTTATCGGTCACCTTTACCGATTACAATCTCTTATCGATCAACACTCCTTATCAAACAGATTTTGACGGGATATGACTCCTTATAGAACAACACTTAACCGATCAAAAACCTTTTATCACACAAAACACAACTAATCGGTCAACAAAGATATTCAACAGCCGATGACTGATTCTTATCACTTGATGAATATGTTCATCAGGAGATGAAAGAAACAATTAGGAAAATACATAAATCAATCCAAGAACACTCAAAATTACACCAAAATTGAATAAAATCAACACAAATGATTCGCAAGATGAACATAAACAAGTTTTCAGAACAATTCATTCCAAAAACAGATCTCAATTTTAATGAAAATCACCCAAACAGTTCAAGAACACATCAAGAACTCAAATCTCAAAAAAATTCAAACTTGATCCTTAAAATCAATTCAATTTTGAAATTGAATGATTCTACTCAATTCCAATTGAAAATATGCACACAATACCATCAAACAATCATCAAAACTCAAACAGATTATGTAAAATCGAATCAAAATAGTAACTAAAAAGTTATGAGCAAGAATAGTCCAGAATTGTCTAAATAAAATGCAATTCGATTCAATCCATCTCTAAGCTGTTGTAACTTGCTCTGAAACCAATTGATAATCCCCGAAATGGATTAATCAATAACCAATTCTTATGATCCAAGATTGATAGTCCCTGTTATAATCAATCTTCAAGACTGCTCTTCAACAATGGCAGATCTGATAAATCTTTAAGAACACTTTAATATGAACTTTGAGAGAGAAAGTCAAACATTCAAAGGATAGTCAACTCTCTATTACGTATCAAATTTTACAAATAAGCTTTTTTTTTTCAAAGGATAGTCAACTCTTTATTACGTATCAAATTTTACAAATAAGTTTTTCTACCTAAATTTACAAAGACATCACCCTATTTATAGGGTCAAACTTCTAAACATAGTCAAAGTCAAACATATCTAAGAAAAGTCAAACACGATGACTTTTATAATTATAGACAATATTTAACTTTCAAGACGAATACAATTTAATACTGATTTTCAGTTCTAACATTCTCCCCCTTTGTATTCAGACTTGAAAGAAATTCTGCGCTTTGAGTCCTGTTTGAACTTTGAAACTTTAAGCACATTATGACATCTTCAAAAACAAATTTCAACTTGAAATCTTCAAACAATTATCTGTTGAGAACGATCTTCTAGCATTCTCCCCCTCGAATGTAGAACAGCGACGATCTTCTCTTTTGACAATGTAGAACAGTAATCATCAGAAACAATGTACAAGATTTGATCTTCAAAGAATATTCATAATTAATCTTCAGTAAACTGATGAAAAGATGATCTTCACATTCAACATCTCTCAGTCATTGTAGCACATGAATAATCTTTCTGTAATTATCTCCAGTCGTACTTTTTTTGAGTCTTTTGCCAATTTCGAAGTTACTCCTCGTTGATCTTTGCATCAGATTCCCTTTAAAAAGTTTGGAAATCAATATTTCATTCATTATTACATACTCCCCCTTATGATGAAATGAGAATCATTCCATCATACATAAGATGAATGAAATCTTCCGCGTAAACCGTCAATTCATGAAATTTTAAGTAGATCTTTGCAAATCCACGTATTTAATCTTTTCAAATTAAGGGAATGTGAAGGTAACAACCAATTTCAACCAATGAAATTGTTTTCAATCTTATAAAAAGATTGGCCTGTGAGTATAACAGATATACTCAGTACAACTGATGTACTATATATATGAGACTTTTTGATGCTCATCTCRCCAGGTCTTCCATTCAATCATTGATAGCTAAAAAATAGCATATCTATGAATGTTTTGGCAAATTAACATATAAAATGCTAAATATGTGTAATGTAGAAAAATAAAGCAACTAATGCTTATGTTTAGGCTCAAAAAGATAAATCGTGTGGACTACACAAATTTATCAGACTCAATATGTGATAAAAAATACTTGAAGGGGGGACATATATCCTTCTGATTCAATATCAACTTTCTCCAAATGAGAAACTGATAGATGATGAGTTGCGTGTCCCAAGTGTTATTGAAACACTTATCTTTTGAGAGATAAATGAGAAGTTGGTGGGGTTGTGACGAGAATTGGCCTGGGCTTTGTCTTTTTCAATATTAGTCTCGAAAGAATTGAGAACTAATAGATTGTGTGGTATGCCCGGATTATATAAGTTTGGAACAAGATTTTCGTATTCTTTTAATCCTGACACAACTCTCATCAATTCTTTTAGCTCACAACACTACCCCTCTCATTTTCATTTTAATCTCAGCACACAAACCCTTTTGTATTTAAGCTCACTCAGATATGGTTGTCCTCTTGGGTAGATATGTCGGTTTTAACATTCCATAGAGATATTTCTGATAAGCACTCAGTCCCTCCTAAAATTTAACGTTATGCACATTTGATCACAATGGTTGATCAAAATATTATTTCATTAAAGCACAATGATCAAATAAAAATTGATCAAGAAATGTGGCTTTAAGCACAAATAACGAAAGAATGATGCGACAACGATTAGATTATTCGATATTTGAGAGAAATGAATGAAGATCTGTAAGAATAAGTTTACAGATTCTGATATTCAAAAATTATCGAATGTATATGTATCAATGTAAAAAATATATCAGAAAACAAAGTTGAATACAAACGAGTGTATTATCACCGAAAATGATTATCTTATAAGAGACGTGATAATAACATTTTGAAGAATAGCTGAACCAGGTATTGGAGTTATGTACGACGAGAAATTACAGAAGTAAAATCTCAGGAAATACTTGTTTAGGAAAATGTACTCGTTACCAAAAAAAATCATTTTCCAAAAACATTTATTGAAAATTTGTAGAGACTCCCCCTAGAAAACAGATTTAAGTAATGATTCAGTTAAGCTCAAGAGAATAAAAAAATTGAAACATTGTAAGCACAGGTTCTAAACTGAGTATTTAAAAACAACACTCGGTAAAGCACGGGTCCTGAACTGAAATGTACAGAAGCCTCGTTTGGAATAAATTACAACTCCCCCTGCATTGGTGTATCACTGAAATGATATTCTGATCAGCACAAAATGGACACACCTGCAAAACCAGATTAAGTAGATTTTGGTTCCCAAACGAACTTGGGTCCTATTTTGTTAGTATCAGGTTGGGGTATGCTAAAATTTCCAAACCATTTATTTCTATAAGATATTTTCTTTTTAGCGCTATTAACAGGATGATTAGGAATAAGATATGAACCGTACCAGTAATTATGATCATACATGTTATTATCAATCGAATTATTCTGATATCTGTTATTTGTACTCCATCTGTTATAGATCTTCTTATTCACAAAATCTGTTGATTTGCATGTGGAGCACATGATTTTTCTCTTGCTGAGATGAATCAAATCAGAAGTGGATCTCACAAAGCAAGGAAGATTGTTAGTAACAACAGAGTTCTGAGATAAAACAGATTCAGACTTATTAACCCAAATGCTTTTAACCTTTGAAGAGTAATTGGGTGATCCAATGACATATCCTTGATAATACTGATTAGAAGAACGAGAATAATTCTTAGAAACAGTAGATTTAGGACTACTTAAATAATTGTTCGAATTGGAACAATCATAAAAGCTGGTTTTACACTGTGATTGAGAACCAGTTGGGCTTTTAGCACACGAAAAGTCTTTGACTTTTTGTAAAAGCTAGTCTCTTTCAGCAGTAACTAAATCAAATTTAATTTTCAGTTCAGTTCTCATCTTCATCTCAGTTTCAAGGTCTGTCTTTAGATCAGACAATTTACTTGTAGTGTCCAGGAGTTTACCTTCTAACTCCTTCTGTATCATTTCAAACTTTCTCTTCTGATCTATTAACTCTCGTTTCCCTTCATCTGAGCTACTCTTTTCATTCTCCAAGGCAATGTCAAGCCACTTTTTCTTATTTGCAAGATCTTTAGCAATTGTTGTATACTTCTTTGAAGTATTTCTTTTCTCAAGAGCAAATTGCCTTTTCTCTTCGTCTAAAGCCTTTTGCTTTCGATCAATGCTTTTAGACAATTTCTGTAATTGACTATGGCAATCTTCGGAGATGTCTTTCTTTTCTTTATCAGTCTTGGCTCATTCCAAGATGATCAGCTGCACAAAATCCGAGATTTGCTTTAACAATATCTTTGCGTTCAGCTCGAGAGAGTTAATCTTATTCTCAAAGGATTTTCGTTCAGAATCAAATCTTTTCTCAATCTCTATAATCTTATTCTTTTCTTTCTCTAAAACTTTCCTTTCAATATTCAAATCCTTCTCCACTTTCAAAACCTTTTCTTTCTCTAAATTCAAAAGCTTTCTTAGCTCAATCAGATCACTTTCAGATTTATGAACCTTCTCAGTTAAATCCTTTGTCTCTATATTATTCCTTGGAGAGTTTTTCTCAATTGAAAGTGCACTTCTAACCTCTTGGAGTTTATTGAAAAGATCTTTATTAGCCTTACTCCATGTTTCTAACTCTTTTTCACATTCTATTTTGACATCATCCAAGGATTTTTCAAGTTTATTAATCTGATACTTGTAATCATTCTCAACTCTTTCTAATATTTCTTTATGCTCCCGATTCAAATCTTTAATACATTCCTCATTAGCATAATTCTTAGTATACATATTTATGTATTTCTCTTTATAGTTCACAATGCTCTTTTCCAACTCAACAATCTTAGCTCTCATCTCCTTTAGGATATCTGCCATTAAAAAAAATAGATTGATCAGTTATAGAATCTATGCAGTGAAATCAGTAAAAAAGATCAGGAATAGTTAAGCTAAAAAAATAACAGAAAACACAAAAAAAAAACTGTTGAGAAATAAGCAAATCGACGAAAAACTGTCAAAAATCAGTAAAAACTGTCAAAACTGTTGAAAACAGTTAAAAACTGTTAAAAACAGTCAAAGACAGTTGAAACTGATGGAAAAACAGTTTACACGACAGAAAACAGTTCAACGATTCTCAAACAGTTTAAAACACAAACAGAAACAAATAAATAAAATGATCCAAAATTAAAATCTAAACAAATATTAAAACACAAAAAAAAAACAAGATGAAACAAGCCCAATAAAACTATTCAAAAACCAAAACAAAAACAGTTACAAAGATATAGCTAAAAGATAGTCCGAGAACATAGTTCGTGAATATATGACCCAATTACAAACTAATTAAAAACCGTAACAAAATCCCTTAATATGATTACACCAAATGAAATTCTTGGTCAATTCAAATGGTTGATGTTGAAAGGAGTTCTTTGCTTGGTAGCGTGTAAGAGCTGTTACAATCCTTGATTCACAACCAATAAGTATCTGTGCAGCTTCCTCTAGCAGTCTCTGTTTGTGCTTCGTCCTGAATGACAACAACACTTGGAAATGGAGAAGCTGGTAAACAGATTCTGTATGATTTAATCTTGAACCAAAATGAAACAATAATCCAACGCTAATCTGTCCAAAACAACCAAGTCAAATTCAATTTACAGATTTTGCAATCAAGATGAATTCAAACAGAATATCAAACTGTATCCAGGTGAAGATGTCCGTGAATCAAGTTTAAGTCGAGAGATGGTTGAAAACCTACTGCCTAAAACATACAAACAAAAACTGTTCACTATACAAGCTTTTTGATCACTGCAGAAACCTGGTCAACACACAACAATCAATTAACAACCTCTCAAGTCCACTCAAAGCTACCTAAACATGCTGTATAGAAACCTACTGTTAAAACAAAGAAATTACAGCAGCCTAGTGTGATATCAAAACTCAATCACAACAAAATCTCAAGTCTAAAAACTGAATCTTCAATCCCAAAAGAAAGTATTTGTGTGAAACTACCAGCTGAATTTGAAACAACTAATTTGACAAGTGGCTGGGAAACCTGTATGTTTGCATCCTTTACAAACCAGCCCAGAGTAGCATCAATTGGCAGAAAGTTTCCACACAGGTTGATTAACTCTTTATACTATTTCCAGACAAGAACTATTTATACAGGCAGATTTCTAGACATGGATAACAGATTCAAAATTCAAGATTGTTTTAGCAAAAGTAAAACTCTTTACCTACTGTTCCAATCCTCAAAATTTGATATATAAGCACAAAGTGACACCAATAAAACCAAAACCTTAAATTTGATATCAAGAGCACAAAGAATCTGATGTTCCAGTCCTCAAATCCACAAACACAGATATTTGGGCAATGCACCAGCACTACCACTGGAAGCAATCCATCTAGGACCAACAGCAAGAAGCTCAAAGTCAAAACAATGTACCTGTGTAGCTGATAAAAGCTGTCAAGATGATCCAAAACTTCAAAAATCAAACAGCAACTGTTACAGATAGCAATGAATCAAATGTTCAAAAAACGAAATTGATAAACAGAGCTGTTGTTGTCTTTCACCCACGATGTATCAGGCTACAACTAGTCAAGAATCAAGGACAAAAGTATTGATGGTTCGAATCAGCTACTAGAACTGTAATAACCAGAAACTCATTGCCTGCACACTGTTTCAAATCGGTCAAGATAAATTCAAGAACAAACACAGAACCTGTAGATGACAATTCTTACACCAAGTAACAAATCCAACCAAAATCGAATAAGCTTCGGTCACTAAATTGGACTCAAACAGATTCTGTAATGTAAATTTCAAATCAAACAATTTCAAATTAGCTTCATAGGTATGCAAAACAGTGAACGATTAAGAATCCGGACAATATGGATTGAACGATTTATTAAACCGGATACTTCGATGAACAAAATGCTAAGTACTAAATCGCTCAAGCTTAAACTCTAAATCGCTCAAAGGTAATCCTAAATCGGTCAGTAAATCGCTCACCACTATTTCCTCTCATTGACCGAATTCGCTCAAAGGGTGAACTATTTAGATAGAAAATTTAGATGAAAATTGAACGATAAACTAATCCGATCAAAAGTCCGCTTAACACTAACACTAAGTCGCTCAAATATCTGCTCAACCCTAATCACTAAATCGCTCACAAATCCGCTGAAATGGTATGTGATTTAGACTGAAATCAGACAAGTACTTGAATGATTTACCTCAAATTCGGATGAATCGAGCAATATACAGTGAGCGATTTAGAATTCGATCAATCCAAACTTCCCAGAAGTTCCTTTGAGCGATAAAAACTCCGGACAAAAGAAATATAATCTTGCGTGCGATTTAATTTAAATCGCTCACTTGTCCGGTCAAGAAGCAAGATAAACTGGTTGGGCCTTGAAGAAATTGATTTGGATGGGCGATTTAATCTCCGGTTGGGATTTGGGCTGAAAGAGTTAACACAAAATTAATCAAAACAAAATCCAAAAAACAGATCAAAAATATCAAAAACTCAAAAACAGAAAAATTTTAACAAAAATTGGATAAAAAACATTGACTTCTAAAAAAATTAAGAACACAAAAAAAAATTAAAAATCACAAAAACTACCAAAAACACGAAAAACACAGATTAAAACGCAAATCGTTGTGCATAACAAAGATTCACGAAGAGATTACACACACTATGATCCTCAAATTGACACAAAAACACAAAAAATTTTAAAAAAATTGGATCAAAATCAAAGAAAAATGAAGAACAAAAAATGAAGAACACATAAATTCCAGAAAAATATCATCAAAAATTCTTCAAAAACACTGATTTCTTCTCTTGATTTCTTGCAAACTCTGCTCTGATACCAATTCATAGTCCCTGTTATGATCAATCTTCAAGAATGCTCTTCAACAATGGCAGATCTGATAAATCTTTAAGAACACTTTAATATGAACTTTGAGAGAGAAAGTCAAACATTCAAAGGATAATCAACTCTCTATTACGTATCAAATTTTACAAATAAGTTTTTTTTTTCATTCAAAGGATAGTCAACTCCATATTACGTATCAAATTTTACAAATAAGCTTTTCTACCTAAATTTACAAAGATATCACCCTATTTATAGGGTCAAACTTCTAAACATAGTCAAAGTCAAACCTATCTAAGAAAAGTCAAACACGATGACTTTTACAATTATAGACAATATTTAACTTTCAAGACGATACAATTTAATACTGATTTTCAGTCCTAACAAAGATCAACAATCAATAACACAATTAAGATGTAGAAAGAGAGTAGAAATCTTAGAGAGAGAATCTTTTAGTGCCAATTGTATTCAAACAACAATTACTAAGATGAAATCTTACAATATGTATATTCTACCCCTTCCAAGATCTAATACTAAAGCACCTATATATACATACAAGATAAGCATAAGGACATAAAGCTTGGATACAACCAATTTAGGTACAAAACTTGGACCTAACAATCCCCCATTTTGGATACAAGCTCTATGAGCAAGTTCAAACAAAACATATCAGCAAAAATCTTCAGACCCTTTGGCTGCAACAAACTTCAGAAATATCAGCATCTTGATATCTTTCGGATTTATCTTTGAAAATCTTTATACATTCTCCCCTTTGATCTCTCAAGACTTTAAACATTCTCCCCCAATATATAAATACAATGTATAAACTTCTTCTTTGAGCAGCAGGTTCTTTTTCTTCAATCTTTAAAACCTTACAATCTCCTCTTATCTTTGAAACAACTTCAATCATTCTCTCCCAAATTAAACAACTCCAGACAAAATTTATCAGGTTCTCTCAACTCGATAAAATATTTTCTTCAAGAATCTCCTTCTTTAAAATATACATAATATTCTTTTCAACTTTTGAGTAAACTCCCCCTTTTTCTTTTCAACACATAATCTCCACAACTTCTTTCCTTTACAACAAAATGAGAAATTATTTTTACGATCACTCCCCCTTGATCATAGCAAAAGAAAATCTTCAATAATCTTCTATACTTAGCAAAATTCTTCAAAACTTTGCTTCAAAACAGGACTCATGGTTCTAAAACACGTAGGATAGATGAGGTATTCAGTAAGGCAACATGAGATCTCACACACCAAACGTGCAACAATAAGTTTTGTTCGGTTTTGTCCTGTCAATGTTCTACGTACCAAATACAATCTCCATCCTTATCCCATGAAGCAGGGTCTAAGGAAAGTAGTATATTTGCAAACTTTACCTCTACCCAGGGACGTTCCAATATTTTTGAGACCTTATTGTAAATACCCAGACTAGATATTAACCAGACGAGTAACAAATAAAAAAAAAAATACAAAAGTACAATTCATATATTATATTAAAAGTATTACAAATTAAAAAACAAAAATATTTTGAAAAATGATAAAATAGCATATGAATCTGTATACGAAATCCGGAATTGATAATCATCAAACCCGCTAAAAGATGCCAAACCCTAAAAAATGATTAGCAAGGTAAATGTTAAAACATATATAATCGGGTTCATAAACTTTTATCGTTTGGTATAAATTTCATTTAATGAACGAAGTACTAATGTATATTATTGTATAATGATACAATCATATGTGTCGTAAGCAGGGTGTACCAATGGTGCCATCGCACAGGACCTTCGATCGTTGAGGGCCTTTATAGTTATTATAATCGTTAAAACAGATAATAATTTATTGATTCTATATAAATAAATAAATAAAAAGTGAAGAAAAGAATGTTGGAACGTCCGGGTAATAAAAAAATATGTTAAAATAGAATAAAACGAGTTTATAGCAAATCTTGATTATGAAAGTATAATAGATGATTTTTCTTCTAGAAGATCTGAATCCAAAAAATAATGTCTAAGAGCAACTCCAACCTTCACAACAAAAAAACACACCAAAATTTATGTATTTTAGTTTTTAAAATTTCCATTAATAAACTATGTTTACGTTTATCTGGTATCATATTTGTGTTATTAATAATTTATTTTATATATATATATATATATATATAAATTTACATAATAAATATAAAAACCTAAAAAATTAATATTTGTAATTATTTATTTATAATTTATTAAAAAAATTCTTTATTTAAGAAATGGTGGTGGGGACCACCCTTTTGGTGTGAATGTGTCTCACGGCAAATATGCTGTTCACAAACTTCCTCCGGCAAAATGTTGGTGTTTTTGGCGTGCGATTGGATCCAAAAGAACAGCAAAACTAGGATTTTGCTGTTCGATTGGAGTTGTTCTAATTGTTTATCTTCTTAGAAAAATGTATGTAGAAGTATCAATTTATTACTTGAAAAAAAAACGTTTATATTCACTACAAAGGTATTAAACTATTTGTATTGTAATTATTATGTAATTGTTATCGAATAAGAGTTGTTTTTAAAGTTTAACAAGTTCACGTCTCATACCAAAATAAATGACAGGTGGAATGAGCATATAGGACCTACTCAAGACTTCATAGGTCGGCCCCTGCCATGAATAGTGTAGCAAGGGTGGTTCTGATTTGATCTGGGTTCGCAATTTGCTCCTTCATGCATTCTCCTTTAAGATGCTTTGCTGATTGCAGAAAACAAATTAAAAGATCAAAATTCATTCATTTTTTGTTGCATTTGAGATTGCAAGATTAAAATTTGAAGATCAAGATCCATTTGTTCATACAAAACAAAAGATTAAATAAAAAACAATGGGTGGAAAGAATTTCTTCAATCATTCGGAGGGGAAAAAACAATGAAATTTTGAACATGATTTTGTATAAATACCAGAAAATTGAACTTTCTGTTCACTGATTTGGAGTAATATCCAAGGATTTCAAGCTCAAAAAAATCATTCCAAAGACAATTTACCTCTCTTTCATGTTAACTCCGGTGGTCAGAGAATCTGATTTTTTCTGCGACTTCGGCATCGGCTGTGACTCTGGTGGTCTTCCGCCCCCAAAATCTTCATCGGATTCTACCCCCGAGACTGTATTGACGTTTGGCATCCAAATGGGGACGGTGGTGGTCTTGGTGGTGGTCTTAGCGGTGTCAGAATTAGTAACTGCGAACCTCATCGGAAAATACGCAAAGGAGCAGTAGTAAGCTTCTTTTCCAGGCACTAGCGGCGGCATAGATTCCGGCGGAATTGCAACTACCTGAAACGCCCTTTCACAATTCGCACATCTCAAACAATAACCATCAAAAACCCTAGGGTACTCGAACAGATTATAACAGTACGGACACGACGTCCATATGTTCTCTGACGGCGGTATCTCCGCCGCTCCTTCCTTACCGGAATTCCGCCTCACCGGCATTTTCTCCGGTGGATTTTGAATCTCTTTTTCCTTCTGATTCCTCATGGCGTCCAGATCTACCTTCAAAAACTCGAATAATTTCTCATCGTATGCAGATTTTTTCGACGAATCTGATAAAACTTCCCACGCATCTCTGACGAGCTTGAAAGCAGATCCGGCGAAGGGGAATTTGTTCTTATCAGGATGAAGGAGGAGGGCCAGACGACGATACTGTTGTTTGATAAGGTCGGAATCGTCGTTCCGATGGATAGCGATTTGGAGGATGGCGTACCAGTGGTGGTGGTTGTCGGTGATTTGTTTATCCGCGGCGATTAAGACGTCGGCAATGGCCATGATCCTATCGGAGCCGTTGAGTAATGGCTCTGTTTCTTGAGCTAAGAGAGCGAAATCTCGAGCGGCGTTCAGATCTTTTTCTTCTAACAGCTTCTCGGCGATTCCTAGTAGCCGCTCGGCTTCGGCTCGGCTCGTCGTTTGCATTGTCGGAAAATGTGTTTTCTCGGTGATTTTGTCTGAATGGAGATTGGGTTGTAGGGCCAATGTGATTAAAAAAATTGTTTGCTTTTTTATCATTAAAAATTGAAAAGGAAAAATCTAACGAATTATTTGAGATCCTTTTTTAAACATATTTAGCATTAATCAATGTGAATTAAAAAAAGGGATGTTTTTTGGACCCCTATTTTAACTTTTGACCCCTCTACTAACCACTACACTCACATTGAATAATTTAAATAATATAAATATATATTTACAATTTAAATCCTTATACTTATATGATTATTTACTTTATACCTTCTAGTTTTATATTTTTCATTTTACATTATTATCATATTAATACATATAATCGTATACTAACTAAAATACGTTAAAAAATACGTTTTAATTTTAATAAGTTACATCATTATAATCGTCTCGTCGATACCTTTAGAATGAGTCCAATATTGAATATTTTTTGATTTATTTATCTTATTATATATCATACATACTACGTAAAAAATTTAATATTTACAATTTATACCCTTATAGTTAATTACTTACAAACTCATTTCTTGATCAAATCCCAAGTTTATTTCATCCATACATCACACAGATACAAGATGTAGTGGGTGATGGAAATTGTGGATTTCGAGCCATATCTACTTGTTTGGGTGGTCATGAAAACGCATGGGGCAATATTCGGCATGAGTTAATGATTGAACTAACGGAGCATCAACATTATTACTCTTATGTTATTGCCAACGAATGTGGAAGAATTTACGAAGCGTTGAACTTTTTCACGAAAAACGTCTTTGCACCAAAAATGTATTGGATCGCTATGCCTGAAATTGGAATTCTAGCTGCTTCAAGGTTTAATGTCATACTGCATGTTCTCAGTTATAGGGCAGGCAGTGTGACATACTTACCATTCAAGACACAACCGCCGTCATTATCCCAACACGTGTCAATTGCAATAGTGCATGTTAATGGTAACCATTACATAAAGGTGGTATTAAACGGAGAATACTCAATGCCCACACTCGTACATCATTGGCCACGTCATCAACATCCAGATGCAAGTACATGGATTGTCCCATACCAACGTAGATTTGATATGTATCAAGAATATATAAAGAATAGTTGTAATCAAGATTATGTTAATTTAGGTGACTAATTAAAGTTGTAATTTGTTGGAATAAAAAATATCAAAAATATTTATTTATGTTAAAAAACTTATGAGTGATAAAAAAATCAATTAACCAATACGTTATAGCGACCTAAATATAGTAAAATCCAAAAATATTCAATATTGGACTCGTTTCGAAGCTATCGATGAGACGATTATAATGATGTAACTTGTTAAAATTAGAACGTATTTTTTAAACATATTTTAGTTAATATATAATTATATGTGTTAATAAGATCAAAGTATAAAATGAAAAATAGAAAACTAAAAGGTATAAAGTAAGATAATTAAATAAATTTAATAAAAAATATTCAATATTGGACTCGTTTCGAAGGTATCGATGAGATGATTATAATGATGTAACTTGTTAAAATTAGAACGTATTTTTTTTTAAACATATTTTAGTTAATATATAATTATATGTGTTAAGATCGAAGTATAAAATGAAAAATAGAAAACTAAAAGGTATAAAATAAACTAATTAAATAAATTTAATGATGTAAAGTGTAAATTATTAAATAAAGTTAAGGATGTAAAGTGTAAATTATTAAATAAATTATATAAAAATGAAAGATTGTGAGGGAGGGCGGTCTAAACTGACAAAGGGGGTCCGTTTAGAAATTGCCAAAAAAAAGCATATTCAACAGCATCTCAAAAATGAAGGTTTATGTGTTTTTTTTAATTCCAATAGATTCATCAAAACCTTTTCTAAAAAAAACATAAACGAGAAAAGGAAAATTTATTCAAATATGGAGAATTCACTAAAAATGATAACTTATGAGTGAAAAATAATATTTAATTGTTCTCACCAAAAGAGCTTTGAAATTAAATATATGGAAGAGAGAGAGAGAGAGAGAGAGAGAGAGAGACTATGTTTTAATTAAATGTACTAATAATTATTTTAATAATATAACTGATTTCTATTCTTTAAAATGAAAAATCTGTTGGAGATGATATGAGACCAAATTTTTATTACAGGTTAAATTGGAGAGAAAAAAAATTTATTTAATATCCTGAACTAAACAGGCAAGTACCTAAACTTTTTTTAAATAAACAAATTATTAGATTTTATACAGTTTGAGTGATGAAGTCTTTAAACTTTTTTTTAATAAATAAATTATCGAAGTTTTTTGAATTTGTAATATATCGTTATTTAATGAGAAAATATTTTGTTGGTTATCAGTTTTATAAATTACTATTGTGCATTAATAAGACTCAATACTTATTTTGTTTTTGGACATATTTATAAATTGGTTATAAGTTTTAGGAGCTATTTGTTTACCTCTTAATAGTTTCATTCTGAATCACTAAGAGTTAAATCTTGTTTGGGAAAAAAAAAATAGTTTGTCTCTTAATGGCTTTAAAACTCTCTGAACGATTTTGTATTTTAGGTCTCCCTAAACCATTAGGATCCCTAATTTCATTTTGAACAATTACCAAACAACTATATTTCATTTTGCACTACATCATAAAAGTTTCTTGATCATTCTGACCACTTAATCATCCTGCACCAAATCATCTAGCAACAGCCAAACAACCCCTTAATTTTATAAAAGTCAAACATATTAATAAGGTGTATATATTTAATAATAAGTTATATGTTAAACTCCATTATGCAAAATGTAAAAAGTAATGAAAAACAATAAGTGATGAAGAACCAGAAGACCGATGAAGAAATCAAGGCATACAAGACTAAGTCTGGATCGATGGAAAGACTAACCAGAGCATCGATGGAAAGAGCAACCATCGAACCGATGGACCAAGTACAACCAGCAGATCGATGGATGATGCGATGGAAAGTGTATTCATTAATGCAATGGACAGACTAATACTTAGAAGGTTTTCTAAGTATTCATCCATGCATACATCGAAGACTTAAAGATAAGGATGAAARCGCCACATCAATAATGACAGCTGGAGATGACAAATCAACAGCTGGAATTATAGTTTATCTTGTAAACAATGATTATACATGTAAAAGATAAACATTATCTATTAGCTAGAATATTTGCTAGAAAGTAGTAATAGTTAGTTATCTTAGCATTAGCTAACTAGTATAAATAGACGACTAGGTTTATTGTAAAATGCGCGC